AAAATTCGTAATCACCAAAATTGACAAAGCCAGTAATAATTTCAGCATTATTTGAAAATTTTTTATGCTCACTAATTGATACTGAACTGAATAATGCCATTACTACAAACTTTCCAATACACAAGAAAATGTCATTGCGAAAAAGCTGAACCAATTCATAAGAAACTATAAATTACACAACCATCTAACTACAATAGATTAGCAAATCCATATGTTCTAAGTTCCATAAATCACCACTCAAATTTAGATTTAAATCAAATGGCAAATAATTATAAAAAGAATATAGATTATATATTTTCAATTAAACTTAAAAAATCTGTGTTTTAATTCATCAACTAGTTAACGAGCAACATAACTATAGTTGGATATTTATAATAATGCTCCAATTTTCAATAAATTTAAAAGTTTAGAACTCAAGAACATTAACAACTATGAGTTTCAAAACCTTTATACTTCTCTACCATTGGAAGAAATTTTTACTAGTTTAATGCAGCTCCCACAACTTTTTCCTGACATGCTTAACATCCTTTGAATTGAAAGATGGAAGACTTACCTGCATTATGCATTATTTAATAGCTACATTTAATTCAATAATAAGATCTTTCAGCAGGTGAGAAGAATTCCAATGGAAGTAAACAGTTTCACACAAATATAAAACCTATTTCTTTTTTATGATGAATATAAATGATGATATTATAATTTTCAATAATAATTCTGCTTTTGAACAATTCAAAATTTACCCAAATAGTTTAATAATTAATATAACTAATACGAATCAAGATAATATTGAATACCTATACCTGCTCATAATAAAACACAGCAAAATTAAATTATATGACAAAAGGAGGAATTTCCAGTTTGATACTATTAAACTAATTAATTGAAACTCTAATATCTCTAGAAAAGTAATAGGTAACACTTTATACAGCCTAATAATCAAAATAAAAATATATGTACTGAAATAGAAGATTTAAAGGAAGATATAATAAAGCTAATTAATGATATATTAAATTAGTTCGCAGCAATAATATTTGTATGTAAATAAAATTTCATAATTTAAAATTTAAATTTTAATTAACTTTAAATTTACTGTATACGAATACAGAATGTTTGCTAAATTCAAATATTGCATGTCTATATGTATATATAGAGAGAGAGTGAAAAATATGAAAAATTCCTTCAAATATGTCGTTTTTCTTTTTAAATTAAAAGGGCGTATCACCTGACTTTGGCGCAGATTTTTCATTAAAACTCTAACGAATTCAAGGGTGATCAGACAAAAGTCCCTCTTCTAATCACCCTTAAAATCAGTTGCTGTGTTATTCAAATTCGCCAAAATAAGATTGCTTTTTTGCCTAATTTTAAATTTTACACTGGCATGTTTCTCTGCCATTTGATTAATACCTACAGATGCAAACTCAGAAAAGTAAATATCATAACAGTGTTGAATAAAATGAATGCATAACTCAAAAAAATTAATTTTAAAAGTTCCATTACTTTCTGCATTTCTTTTTTTTTTTTTTTTTTTTTTTTCAAGTTGAAAGACTCCTGAAAGACTATTGTTTTCGTTTTGTGATTTTGCGTTGAATCACTCTGAATATCCGTTTCAATTTTCAGACTGATGCCACCAAATATTATCGCCCTCTATTATATTTAAAGAAATTAAATAATGAAGAATTTACATAAATGTATGTTTCTCGCATTGTGATAAAACAACGGTACATAGAACCACCGATTTTTGAACAACGTAATCCTACTGTGAATATGGGCATGTGGAAGCCGAAATTTGGAATTTGAAATTTGTTTTATTATCGATTTCAGATTTTTTAAAACTTTAACGAATTTTTGATTAATAAACTCAAGGATTTCAAAGCGAGCAATAGCAACGTTGTACACACACACACACACAACAACACACACACAAAAAAAAAAAAAAAAAAGCATTTTTATTTCCAGCGCATGAGACTGCGTATCGGAAATTCTAAAGGCATGCTCAATTTAAAATTATTTTGCGATATTGCTTTTGAACTAAATTTTTATGGTTTAAGTGCGAAGAACACACATAATGTTAATAAAACGCCCTTTGCACGTAATTTAAAATTTAAAACCTTTTATATTTTCTTTTTTTATAAATATAATTTTTGGAGGTAAAATATTATAAACAGAAAAATATCAGAGTATTTTTTTAAATATTTCTTTTCAAATGAATATAAAATCAGGAATATAAATAGTTGCTATACAATTTCATCATAATGTTCTGGATTTCTGGGAAAAGACGATTGTGTGAAGATTTAAAAATTTTGAAACTTACAGTAGTTTACAGTAGTTAAACTACTGTAAGTTTTTAATAAAATAGCTTTCTAAAAAACTTACAGTAGTTTAACTACTGTAAGTATTTTAGAAAGCTATTTTATTAATGAAACGCATGCCCACTGGTGACGAGGCGAATCAAGACCACTGAGTCCTGGAAGTCCGATTCCAGTGAGTAGGCTGCCTGCATGTTTGGTTTTCATGGACTTTCCCATGCGTAATATGATTCGGTTTTCATTAGAAGGTCCTCCATGTAGGATCTCTTCATGTGCTTTATTTCTTCGGTAGATAGCCCTGGTGTGCTTCGTCATATTGAAATAAGTCTACATTATGACGCACATTGTATAAAATAATATGACATTATGGCGCACATTGTATAAAACAATATGACATTATGACGTACATTGTATAAAACAATATGACATTATGACGCACATTGTATAAAACAATATGACATTATGACGCACATTGTATAAAACAATATGTTTTCCTGGATATATGTAGCAATGTAATGTAATATATGAGAGTGCTGCAACCCTCCTGGTCGATAATAATCGGCCTCATGGTTCAAGCAGCACACCAAACACCCCGAATATATAGTATATAATAATATGGACATGCAGAGAAGTCTAGATGAAATTGCTTTTTAATGACTAATTTAATTCGACTAAAAACGACTAATTAAAAATTCGAATTATAACGACTAATTAAAAATTGCATGAAGAAATTTTTTGTCAAAACATTGAAGATGAATGAATGATTTTTATGAAGCGCCAACTGCATTGGCATCTGCTAATTAAACTAAATTATTATGAACACGATTTTATCCCAGGATGAAATAATAACACATGATAGAGGTTTCCTCCCGAAACGTTAGTCCTAGAAAAAATTAGTTTTAACCAGATAATTAAAAAACAAAATCTGAAAGTTCTCAGATTTTAACGGTCGCCCGAAAGGATTTTGTTAAAACGTTTCACGCTCTCGCATAGCTTGCAGTCTACCAGTGTGCAGTTATACTCAATCCTAATAACCTTTTTTTTTCCTTAACTTTTTAGCTTTATTATTAAGCATTACTTTCTTAGCACTTACCCCGTATACAATTCAACAGCAAAATTAAAAAAAAAAAAAAAAAAAAAAAAAAGTTTCAGATTTTACATTACGCCCAAAGGGGCGTTTTTTTAAAGCCCTTTTGGGCGTAATGTAAATGATAATGTGTTACTATTAAATATCATGTTCTTCGGACATGATATTTAATAGTAAAAATCATAAAATTCAGTACAACAGCAATATCGCGAAGTAATTTTAAAATGACTATGTCATTAGGATTTCGGATACACAGTCATGCGCGCAGGAGCTACAAATATTTTTCCACCGTACAGAGTTGTCTTTGCTCGCTTTGAAATCGCTGAATTTGTTAATAAAAAATTTGTTAAAGTTTTAAAAAATATTAAATCAATAATAAAACAAATTCCAAATTCCAAATTAGAGCTTTCAGATGCCCATATTCCGTGGAAGATTACGTTATTCAAAATTGGATGGCTCTAGGTACCGTTGTTTTATCACAGTGCGACACAAATAGATACATTTATGCAGATTCTTCATCATTTAATTTCTTTAAAGATAATACAGGCTGTAATATTTGGTGGCAACAATTTGAAATGTGATAAGCTGCTTCTAGTGATTCATTGCAAAATGCCAAAACGAAATTAATAGTCCTTCTGGGCTAATGCCATTTAAGGAGCACTTCTGCTTAGGAATCATAATTAATATTCAGCTATAAATTGACGCTGAGTTTAGAGAAATGCTATATCTGTCTCAAGAAAATTTATCAAACTAAGCGTTCTTCAAACAGCAAAATGAATGTGCTAATAATCAAAATTATAGAGTTGTTTTCTCATATCTCGCACTAAGCACCACAAAAATGCTTCGTTCATTCCGCTCCTTTTAATTGTTTAATTTAATAGCTTACATGTATGAAAATATTTACATATGAGCCTCATATTTAGAAAACGCATCATTCATCACAAAATAGGATACTCTCGGACTCCCACAACACAACAGCAACGCCGTCTTTCGACGCTTGTTCGATTTGTTGAGAAAACACAAAAATTGCCTAATTTCTATAGTTTTAATGCTTCTTATCAATTTTTATTACATAGAAGTTGTATTCCCAAACGAAGTAAGATGATATTGATAACTACAGATTCCTTCCATTTCGAGAAAATATAGTTTGCAATCTAAAATGTCTTTTACTATAATAGCAGCACTCTTCTGGTATGAAAGTTATTCGACGTCACACAGAAAAGTGTAAAATAAAAATTTTTAAATTATTTTCCCATTTTATGATAAAAAATTCATATATTTTATGAAATCTCTGCATTTCAAGATAAAAGACGTTAAATGGATGGCCTTGAGCAAATTGTTAGTATATTTTCGGTTATTTATGTAAACGACATCCATTATAAAAGAATTCATATTCACTGATAATCTTCGAATAAAGTTTGAGCATAAAATATTCAGATTGCTAAAATTATCAATAGATTAACAATAAGATTAACAATAAGATATGATTTTCGGCTGCAGTATTTTCCTGTTTTCTTTTCTTTTTTCTTTTTTAATGATAACAAAATTATTTGATATTTAATCAGTTCAGTACAGAATTTCAGTAAGAAGCACAAAGATTTACTTACTAATTTTTCAGTAATACTTTTCTCAGGAATATGAATATAATTTAGTACCCAGAATTGTTTCAGATGCACTACAATAAACAACTCGACATCGTTGTTTCAGAAAGCCGCTCCAACTGCAGTCACAATTATTTCGTGGGAGTAGGTACAAACACAGCTGCTTGTTTCACAGACCAGTGATATGCGCCTACCATTTATCTTCAGCTAGATGATTCTACGATCAGCCATATGACGTGTTCAAATTTCTGTGTAGTGCAGAAAAAAAAAAGGATGTCACTCAAAGTGAGACTTCGTTTCTCCTGTCTATTATACCTAACCACCGGTCAAATATAGCTAAAGTCGCAGAACAGAAGTAACTCATTCCGGCTGTGACTCAAGCAGTTAAATGGAGACTCCAATGTGTAACATAAATATAAACCAGTTTTCCTTAGAAAGATCACCAAGAAGGCATTTTTAATCTTAGGCTGTTAGCTCTCGCATAGTTTCTCGTATTTAATCTTAAGCATGCTAGCTGTCCCCTAAACAAACCTTTGTCTCTTCAACCCTTAATTAATTAATTAAAGATTATTTAAAAAACTTAAACATAGCTATGTAGCTATGCTTATATCCTTCGAATAATCCTTTATATCTTGTCAAGATTCAAATCATTTTAGCGTTTTATAAATGAGATTTTTACATATCATTTTGGCAATGGCAAGTTTGCAAAATGCTGGCAATGTAGCAAAAATAAGCGTTTTACTATAAATTTTATCATTAAACTTTTAGAACAAAGATGTTACGTTCAAACGTCAACGAAATAAATGCAATTGCTGAACTTCTAATTTCTTAAATTCTAATACAGATCTGGCATTTGTGTCTTACACAAATTAAAAAAACAATAAATAAATTAGCACAAAATTGGGGTTTCAACAGCATGTTCTGGCTTTTAAAATTAACAATAACTTCAAAAGCACTCATTTTACCTTTCGAGTAAAATTAGATAAGTTAAATTAGCACATTCAGCTTTCCTGTAAAAAATTTAAAAAAACATTTTATTTCATTACAGTTTTAAAAGAAGATTTTATGATTAAAGTATTATTCTCATGCTAAGCCGTTACTCAATTTTAAGAATTAATGCATTCTTTGCCTCCACTTAGAATTCCTGCACAAATTTAGGAAGTGTTTAAATTAACTTTATGTTGCAAAAATTTTCAACAAATGTACTATATATAACTTGAAACTGTCAGATATGATTACACAAAACTAATCAATAAAATTTTACATTTAAACCCATACTCCTGTTTTAGCAAGTGATACAAATTCAAAACTATGTATATATGATACCGGAAATTAACTGTAGAACAAGAACTTAAAAATTCTTTGCCTTCTACACTGGATAAATATAGAAGAATTTTTAAGTGACAAATTAAAAAGCAGGTGGAACAAATTCTATAAATTAAAGAAAATTAGGCTATTATTCAATCTAGAGTCCAATGCTAGGAAAGATAAATATTTATGAATATGTCTTACTGTTTACCTCCATTAACGACAGGCTTGCTTCGATCTTCAATAGAAATGAATCTAGACTAGAATTTGCAGCTGCCTCAGTAGGTGGAAAATTCGCTTACGTCACCACGGACGTTTAATTTTTTTACCTTTTATCGAAAACCTCATTATCATAGCAATGCAGTAGCGAAAGCGATTGAGGAAATGCAGCTACTTTATGTGCGTAATTGTGCAAGAATATCAGCATTTAATCCCATTATTTTAGTCATTGAAGAGGTAAATAGACGGCATGAAATAGAAATGGTAATGCTTTAAAAAGAAAATTATGAAATTTAGCTAGAATGCTCAGTACAGTAGAACACCGATTAATTATCCTTTTTCATAGTATCCGACATGGCTTGTGACGTCAAAAGAGGTGATCATTTAAGAGTCAAAAGACAACTTAAATAAATGTTCGCTGTGGAGATATGTTATTAATTGAGTAATTTACCATTTTCTTTCTGTGAATGTAAAAAAAAATATTATCGAACCATTATATTATTTTTTAAAGAATCTTTCAACAACAACAACAAAAAAAAAAATTCAGCAATCGAAGTATAAAAACTTTATACCTCAATCACTAATAAGAAGTGCTTTGCATTTTTTAATTTATTTTTTAAGTTACATATTTTGTTCTCAGTTGCATTCATATTGATAGTTCGACCTGTGTTCAAATTCCAGCTTGGACTTTTCCGTGGTTTTCTAGCCAGTTTATCTCAGAATAGCAGAAAGCTTTCCACGAAGCGATCGCTTCTCTTTAGCCATGTTTTATTTTGTTCATTGTCAAAATAATACCACCTCTTAGCTGCCTTTATGTGACTGTTACCTTGCATCTCCCCGTGAAAAATAAATAAATAATATTTTTTAAATAATTTTCATACAGTAAAAGAAATGCTTTATTTATTTCAAAAGTACATACAGTGTCTCAAAAAGTGATGGGACACTTGTGCTTTACAAAAGGAAACTGCAATAAAATAAATTTTAAAAACATGTAACATTTTTTGTGGGTGTGTTTCATACTTAAATTTAGTAACAATTATTACATAACATGCATTTTCTCAAAATATTAAAATATTAATTTAATAAAAATACAATTGTTTAGAACGGAGCAGAAAATGGCTCACTTAAGTGATGGGACACTTACTTTTCCATCAAATATTATCCAAAAATTTTACTTTTTAAAAGGTTTTAATATTTTGTTGGATTTCCTTTTACTTTTAAAAACATGATTTAATCTTCTTGGGATGGATTCGACTAATTTTTTGTGATTTCTGGAGTGATTTTACCCCACTCTTCTTGAAGCACCGATTTTAATTGTTGTTTTGAAGAAATGGTGTGTTTGCGAATTCTTGATTCCAATTCTTGCCAAATATTCTCTATGGGATTTAATTGGAGATTGTGGGGGTGTTTTTATTATTTTCAGGACAGTTATACAGCAGCCAGAGTCTGACGTTCAAAGCACTGTGCTTGGGGGTCATTGTCCTGGTAGAATTTAAAATCGTTATGAAGGTTCAATTTTCGTGCTGAAGATTTCAAATTTTGATTTAAATGTCAATATACTTGTACTGATCCATTATACTGTCAATAAAAAACAAGATTACCAACCTCCAGCGGACGACGTACACCCCCATACCATAACTCCTCCTCCACCATGTTTTACTGTTGGCACCAAGTTCTGTTTGCGAAATTCTTCCTGGGTTTTCTCCACACCAAGATTCTACCGTCAGAACGAAATATATTAAATTTACTCTCATCAACAAATATAACTTCATTCCAGTAATCAGAATTCCTTATTTATGTTGGCATTTTGCGAAAGCCAGTCTGAGTTTTCTATTCTTTTCACTCAAGCGAAGAATTTTTTCCTGGCTGCTCTACCGTGATATCCAGTAGATCGAATTACTCTTATAATAGTCTCAGGAATTAACTATTACTCTTCATATAATGCTTGTAAATCAGACAGCAACTATAGGAGCACTCATTCTTGGAGTTTTTTTTTAAATATTTCCGAACGATAATTCGCTTTATTCCATTGGATAGCTTTGATGGTCGGCCAGGTCTTCTTCGTTTATCCTGAATCATATGATTCTTTTTATATCGTTTAATGATATTGAAAACTGTTGAATGACTGAAGTTAACTGTTTCAGTAGTTTCTCTAATAGATTTTCCACGTTCAATATGCAAATTAATAACTAATTTTCGAATTCCAGGCAAAGTTTCTTTTCGTTTTAGCATTCATGGCTGCACAGAGCTAAAAAACACAAAAATTCCAAAAACAAACTGGAGAGAAATACTGCAGACGATTTTATAAATTATTGCCAATTGCTTTGAGTAAAAAAATAAATACCCCTAAAGATATTTTTTATTGCTTACTTCAGACGATTTTTGTTTGCATAGTACGTAGTGTCCCATCACTTAAGTGAGCCATTTTCTGCTCCGTTCTAAACACTTGTATTTTTATTAAATTAATATTTTAATATTTTGAGAAAATGTATGTTATGTAATAATTTACTAAATTTAAGTATGAAACACACCCACAAAAAATTTTACAAGTTTTTTAAATTTATTTTATTGCAGTTTCCTTTTGTAAAGCACAAGTGTCCCATCACTTTTTTGAGACACTGTACATTTCTCTCTACCAAATGGTACAAAATATCGAAACACCGAGGGGGGGATAATACAAAAACATAAAATAAATAGCCAATTAATAAACTTTGCATCATGTATATTAAATAATAAATTACCATAGGACTACAGTTATATGAACTCCAGGTATCCGGGCTTTCGGCTATCAGGATAATTTGTTCTTTTCGTCTAGTATTGTAAGTAATATTAAACTTGCTGCTAGTTTATTTATGTGCTTTAATTTTTCATTGATTTAAATAATATAAAACAACAAAATACAATACAATATAAACTTTGCTTTTAAGGAGTTATCAGATTAAATTAGATGCATGGATGTACTTCCATCGAAAATTTACTATTACAGTCAAAAGTCGTTAATCCGGACTCCTCGGGACTTCGGCGATTCCGGATTATCGATTTTTCCGGATTATAGATCATCAGTTTAAATCTCGTAAGATGGCATGCAGAAATTCTAAAATTAAAAATATGAAAGCGTAATTTTTTGAAATAAAGAACAATTATGATCTAAAGGATATCAAAATTTACAAAAAAAAAGCTTAATATTTATTTGTTTACTTTATTAAACATTTCTTTTAATGTAAGTTGTTTAAGTTGCTTCGTTTTATGTGATAATACTTTCTCTTTAATTCTATAAACAGACATAATTTCTTGTTCAGTTACAAAGTTCCGTTGTTCAAGTCCCGTTAATTGCTGTGCCGAGAATACCGACTAACTTGTCAATCGAAATTTTTTCGTTTTCACTAACCTCTCTGTCACATTCTTCATGTCTTTATCCATTTTTTGCAGCAATTCCACTTTTTGTTTGTTGGACATCGAAACATACTTTCGTTTCGTAGATCCTTTGAAAGTTCCAGCATCGGAAATTCAATTTGACATAATCGAAAGTTCAAGTTTACTTTTATAAAATTGCTCTTACAGTCTGCAAAAAATAATAAGCGGGATCCAATTCGAAGATTAAGGAAACGCAATCATTAACATTAACTGAAATAGATAATTAGATAATTTTAGCTTACACCGTCCGTTATACATTAAACGCGCAGGCGAAAACGTATTCTGCACTTGCGCAGTAGTCAAGGTCTTACGCGCACGCGTAAAACGCTTGTGCGCATGTGCCAACGTGGCGCATGCGCAGAAAGTTTTTAGCTTTGAGGTCCAGATTATAGATCATTCCGGATTATGGGTGTCCGAATTAACGACTTTTGACTGTATTATTATTTTTTCGATGTACTTCCGTCGAAAATAATGTTAGATGAAATGTTTTTATCGTACTCGGATAGCAGCAAGAAGAGAGGTATACTAAGTGCTAGAAGTAGCATTTTCCTTTTTGAAAATAGAAAGTGCTTATAATAAATCTCTCTAAACGAAGTGATTTAAAAATTAATCTTTCTCACATGATACTTATGCAACGCTAATGACGCAAAATTTACATAAATCTTCATCCAGTAATAAGGCCAAATTTGTGAGCCAAAACTTAAAATTAACGAATCAAAATAAAATTTAATCGAAATTAATTCATTTTGAATCAGGTTTTCACCTTAGACAGTCGTACTCATTTCGCTACCTAAGTTTATACTCTTCGCTTCCATACTTTCTTTCCTTAGATAATAAAACTGTAAAAATTCATTCATGGCTGGACACGTTTAGTGCCAATTTTATATGTGTTTTCATCAAAAATGTTGTCTCCAACAAAAGCATTTGTCAAGAAATAAAAGAACTGTTCTACCGGCAACAATTGCAAGTATCTCCGTTTCTCTTCAAAATTATTACACACGTATATGAGTGTGAATATGTACATATTCATGCTCATATTCTATATATATAATATATACATGTAATATGAATAGAATCATATCTATGCTATTTATAGAGCAAACATTTTATTGTTGGATTTTTGCAGCCTTTGTGAACCTGCTGTTCCTGAGCGTTATCTGAATTACGTAATGCATTACGTGGGTTTGCCTGAATATAATTTTCCAGACATGACTTGTTGCAATTTCTTTACATGAATATGCGCTTTTATTCATTTACACAGGGTGTCTCAAAAAGTCGTTGCCAAACTTCGATCTGTCATACCATGACAAAGAAGATTTACATAGGAACTTGCGCCCGAAAATGCGAACGGCGACCGCTAGAGGGCAATGTTCGCAGACTTTATGGGAGAATGGGAAGTGCGATCATTTCAGGCGAAGACGTTGCAGGAGAAAGATGAATCGGTTTACTAACTCAGTTCTTTATGAACTTTTTGTGCAAAGAGTGTTATGGAATTTGATCGTTGACGTTCCAGCACAGTGCGGAAATACCTCGATAGGACATATCCTGATCGTTGGATTAGCAGAAGCGGATCAGTCACATGGCCACCACGATCCCCCGACCTGACTTCCCTGCAATTCTACCCGTGAGAATACATTATAAGGTATTTCTCCCGCCTTCTTAGGCGAGGGTATTGCTCATTTTTCACATCTTCTGCTTTGAAATCAACATAATGTCTCTACGACATGAAGTCTATGGTGTACGAGACGACAGGAACATGGGAAATGAATCTCGTCGTCAGGATCATTGAAGCAGCGGCAGGCATCTGTGACACACTAACCCATTTTGGGCGGGTACTTGAATCCATGTGTCGGCATTGTGAAGCATGCATTATGGCTAATGGAACGAATTCTGAATTTCTGCGATTTAATCATGTTCATTAATAAAAGTCATACTAACATCTCTTTGATTATCCTTTCTTTCTTCCCCTGTACCCTTACGAACACTGCTCTCTAGCGATCGCCGTTCGCATTTTCGGACACAAGTTCCTATGTAAATCTTCTTTGTCATGGTAGGACAGACCAGCATGTTAATTTTGGCAACGATCTTTTGAGATACCTTGCATATAACGGATGCTAATGCTAAATGCATTTATATATAACGGATGCTCATGCATTATCATGCTCATTAAGTGTGCGCAGTGTATGGCGAGTATACTAAATAAGTTTCGTTCCTGAAAGTATATATACCAATCCCAAATGAATAAAATTTTCAAAGTTTTGAAATCATCTTCGAACAGTATTGTTTAATCCCAAATAGGGTCTTTTAAAATCCCTTTTTATAATAAGCAAGAAATTCTTTCTATTGTAATATTTGAGTAAAACATAAGTAAAAACGATATTTACATTCTCCTGCACTTAAAACCTTTTCCATCTCTGCGAATTTTTTAGCTGTTTCTTGTGGGTTTCGCATTGCTGAATGCATATATACCATGTATTTTTATCAGGTGCCCACTAGTTGTAAGGAAATTGAAGAAATAAATTCACCTTTTCGAGGAAAATTTTTTAATGTTCCGCTTCTATCCTAAATTCGGGCTTACTAAGCAGTAAAATGAGATCTAGTTTTATATAAAGCTGTAATAAATGTATTTTTTCTCCACATAGCTTTCTCCAAGTATCGTATTTGTTCTTATATGTACTGTAGTAGAAATTTTTGTTACATAGTTAGTTACCTCAGCTGTATTGCACTCGCGCGAAAAACAACAAGTGCTAAATTTCCTTTACACCTCTGTTAGTAATGCCACATTCTTTAAATCGTCACAGCTATACCACCGAAAGCTTCATAGTTCATATTTTAAGCAAATTTCTGTCTGTTCTTTCCACCAACGGCGGGACAGCCAATCCATTGGGCATTTAGGCATATCGGCCAGGTGGCCCCGTTGACGGAATTAATTTTTTTACAAAAGTCCGAGGGTTGTAAGCCGAGTGTTGAACGAGTCAATGGTTCAGGAATACAAGAATGAGGGTTTGGAGAACAATTTCAGTTTCCACACGTACAAAACTTGAGATGGGTAGATGGAACTTAAATACTGTTAATGCACTTCCACAACGTGAACGACTAATGAGTTCTGTAGATAATTCCCGAGCAGGTAAAGATATGACTGAGTTACGTAGATATGCTTAATGCAATCAGCTATATGATACATTAAGTGTGACAATAAACAGTAAACAGAGTTACTAAAATAATACATTAATTAAATAAGGCAATAAACACAATTATTCAAGGTTAGATTAGAGTACATAACAACAATTTAAAGATTACACACACACACACACACATATATATATATATATATATATATGATGAAAATTTAGCTCGTTACAGATGGTTTGATATTAGAAGAGTGCTTGACTAGGGAAGACACCAATCGTTTTACCGTTGCGGGCGAATTGAAGTTAGAAGATCATTGAAATATCGATTACGAAGTAGAAGATGACGAGAACTTTTGATGAATTACAAAATCTCTTGATAATCCGAAGATATCTTTATTACTTGTTGATTATTTTTTGGCATGGCATAGCAGAATGGGGACAATCTGCACTCCACAATTTTAATTATGAGGCATTACATTTTTACAAATGAATAGAAGCAGCCAAACAAAAGACTAGCTAGCAAGCGTGGGCAGCAAAAGAGAGGGCGTATATCGTGGCCGGATTATTTATAATCTCAGAACCTTTTGCTTTAATCCTGCACAGCGATTGGACAAAAGTTTGCAGCAATGCGGATATTGCAGAGAAATTGCGGATGCCTTGAAGGGGTAGTAGTTTAATTGAAAATTAGAAACTTTAAGATCTATTGTCAATTTATTCCAATTAAGCTTAATTTGTTAATAAATTTTCATCGTATTTTATATCTCATATACATACATATAATAAAAATAAAATTAAGCTATTAAAAATCACTAAATTAAAGAAAAAAATGTAAATTTAATAATAATAAATCGAAAAGAACGTATAATATTACTTTATTTCAAACGACTGCTCGATTCAGTCATTACTCTTTTTTTATATCACTTTAAAATATTATTCACATTAGAAAGTAAATCTGTCGCTAAACGTACCTAGATAAACGGATGGAGAGTTTCTAGTTATATCATATCTTCAGAATAGGCAGCTAATTATTATATGGCTACGGAATTTGTATTTTGTTAGTTATTTTTAGAAGAATTGTAATTAAAATTGTATTATATCCCCCAGCAATGCAGCACGAGACGTATTTTAAGAGAAAGCTATGCCGAATAAAGTAAAAATACAGGAGCACGTTCATTTAACGTTTGAATAAATAGATGTCTCGTAATTTATATTTAAATTGTGAAAAATGCAATTGACTACTGTGTTAGCTGTAACCGTAATTCTACTCTTTTGCTTTCCAGAAACCTCAAGAAAACAGAATTTACTAGAACTTTCTCGTGTCCGATTTCAGTTCAGTTTTCGCCATCCCGTTCTCCTGGACTTACTGTACTTCACTCATTCTACTTCAAGCGCCGTTCTATAGTACACGAAATTCAGACAGCCGGAACATAGCATGAACATCTCGGCATACAGCGGAAGTTGGAGTTGGACCTCAGTTCAGTTGTTTACTTAATTGTTGTTGCTGATTGTAGCTAATTCGCGGTGAGATCGGATTAGCTTTCTCTGCGCTTTGGATTTTTTTCTATTTAACGTTTTAGTAATTTAAAATATAACTATTGTGTGATATTGTACAAATATCTTTGAGCAAAAATTCATCGTTTTGTTATATTTCTTGTGATAAGAAAAAAATTTTATTAACTTTTTATCGGACTTGTGCATTCAATCTATTACAAACCCGTACGCACGCGACAATATGATATCTTAAGTTGGTTTGGTTTATTAGATTATGGCAAAGCACTCGAGGGCTATATGCCTTAAGGGAGGGATGCCTTCGTGGAGGACTTTTTAAAGGAAACTGGCTTGCATACACGTTGCACATGGGGAAAACCACGAAAACGCCCCATGCAGCCAGCTTGTTCGCGGGTTTTGAACCTCGGACCGAACTACCAGTGTTCAGCGACGTTACCGCTCGGCCGCTGGTGAGTCTATCTTAAGTTGTGTAAGTAGTTCTTCAACGTCATTGTAGTAATATTACCACATGTTTTTCACTGTTTCATTCTTTAAATGTAATTTTATATTTGAACAGAAAATAAGTGATATTTGTATGCTTTAGGGAAAGGAAGGGAATTCTGAAAACTCAGTTCAAGTGTATTAAATATACTTAATGTATTAAGTACTTCAAGGATTTATATTTATTGATCGAGTAGTGCAGTAAAAACTTACTTTTCATTTAGAATTTTACCCAAAAACTAAATTATCGCAAAGAATTCAAGCTGGCCCTTGCATTACGAAACGTTAGGAGAGTTAATATACTGCCCAATATCTAATCTGGGTATAATTTTTAACTTTCTAAGTACTTAAATATTAATATCACATCGTTGATAGAGAAAACTTTATTTGAATATAAACACTAGACTAACACGTATTTCCTTTTATACGCATTATTTGCTGGGAACTCATGTTTTAGTGCAACGCTCAGTTTACTAAGGTTGACGAATTGTTTAGCATCCTCAGCGGCCTACTCATATCACCCGAGTAATCTGCAATATTAAGCAACAGATTAGTAATTATTACATTTAATTTTATGCAGATATGATTTATTGTTTACATTTCTCTGACAATCGCAGCGGTGTTGTATTAAGTTCCACTTGTTTCTGAGTTTCCATTTTAGCAAATTTTAATGTTCTGTAAAAGATCTGCCGTTACTTTATTGGTAATAAATTGTAAAATAAATTAGTATCTACACAGTAAACGATAAAATAAACTAATATCTACATCATACATTCATGATGTTACCGACTTTTTAAAAATTTGTTGCTGTTTTCAAATTAACTCTTTGTTTGCTATTTTTCCTCATTACTATAAAAATTGTAATTAATTGAAACATATGTACAAAGAAATAGAACTGCAAAATTCAACTCGTGCAATCAAATCTCAGTTGCATATTCCATATTTTACAAAACAAAACGTAATTTTATTCAATGAATATTTAATTATATAACAAATTTCGACCACTAGATGAAGACATTTGTCGGTTTATATATGCAATCCGAATAAAATACAATTAAAAAATGTTTTTACACAATAAACTTTCATTTAAAACGAATACGATAGTTAATGCAGTAAACGGAGAAAATAATTTGTCATATAGTTTAATGGAAATAATAGATTAAATAATTGTATTTAGATAATTCATCCACAATTTTATATCGAGAATAATAAAAGCGTGGGTCTCCCACGATAAATTAAAAAAGATAATGGCTTATATATTTCGCAATACAATAAATTAGGTTATTTAGGCGCCTCGTGCGAATTACGAATTATTACGAATTTTATTATGTATGAAATTAAACTCCGTGGCATCAAGAAGTAGGTTAAAAATCGATGGAAAAGTTACAACCACAGAGAAACGCCTTTAGTGAACTCAATAAATAATTAAATAAAAGATAATGAAAAAGGGTTTCTCAAACTTTTTTGCTTCATATACATTCATCTTAAATACTGTATTTGAGATCAATGTATAGTTAATTATAATAATTTATTTGAAACTGTTTATATAATCTATTATTATTCGCACAGTCAGATTAAAACTTTTACTTCAAATAATGCTCATCCTATAATTAAGATAAAAGAACACGCCGAACAAGTATTAATTTAGAAGTCAAACAACAATATGATGTCAAGCAACCGAGATGATGGCTCGGTAAAACCATAGAAACTAGTCTTGAAAATTTGCATAGATAACGCTGACTTTTGTTGTTTGACTTCTAAATTAATGCTCATTCTGCTTAAAAATTGCTATTTTTTTCCATTAAAAATAAAATCGTTCCTTAGAAAAAGCTTAAGAGAGACAGCTTTTTTTATTACACATTCAAGCTCATTTTGGCTTAAAGAGATATAGATATTATTACAGATTCATAGGGATTATTACATATTACAGACTTAATAGGAAGTATTTTTTACTGAACAGTATTATCTAACCTTATTCTAAAACGAGAAAACATCGATTCTTCGACAGTAATTTCGTTGTCAAGAATGCAAAAGTACTTTTTAAATGAAAAGCACAATTTACAGTAACTGTTAAATTAAAAATTTTTATGTACAGTCACCACGACCGGGTATGTCAGTCTCGCGTTGCTGTGGTCTATCTGAGACAGCAACTACATTCTCGAAGTCCTCCGACACATCAAGCCTGTTACTTCTTCTCCTGTTCAAAAGAACCTTCATTTTTGTCCATATCTTCTTACAGGGACCGCATTCTTTGCAGCATACAACCAGTACGAATAGCAGAATAACAACCAAAAAGACAAGCTTCACGGTCTCGTTGATGAGCGCTACTTGACGGATATCCGTCCAAGAAGTGTTAAATTTTGCTATGGGAAACAGAGTTCTGCCCTTAAATGTATAATGCGGGTTGAGGTGAACTGGTGTATCATCGTGGTGTGGCAAAACAGACATCGTTGTTATAGAAAGTTGAGATAGCTCCGAAGCTTGAATTTTATGTCATTAGCCCCTAAAAGTGCAAAATTCCATGCGTAACTAATTAATAAAAATTAATAGTGATAGTTAAGATTTTAACATAAGTAAAAAACTTCATCGTAGTTACAACTGGCCTCTTCAGAGCATTTTGTAGCTGACAACAGTAAATGGACGGATAATCAACATTTATACATGCTGTCTAAAACATTCTACGGTGTCCGGAGAAAAATCGCGGCAAATACATTGCGGACGCAAACGTCGAGGACAAAATAACGAAACGTTGAACAAAACATCGTGGAAAAAAATATATCCTTTGAATATATCCCATAGTATCCTTTGAATAATATATGCATAAATGCATGCTAACACGATAACCAACATTTTTCAAAAGTCTCTACAGCGGAAAATTATAGGGATTGATATCTCGTGAGCGTGGTGTCCACACAATGGAAATGAACGGCTCACAGAAAATGTTCATCACAGAAAATATATGTGCAAAATATGTAAGCGTTCAGAGTAATAACACTTATTCCTGTGATTTTACGCTTAAGGACTATAAACAAAACTTGTAGAGATATTAGGATTTTTGGAAGCAGGAAGGATGAAAAATGAGCCGGGAATCGAACCGCGGGCCTCTGGAATATACGCCCGGCGTGCAGACCACCACACCACGAAGGCGGGAGAAATACCTTATATATTCCCTCTTTTAAAGGGAGACTGGGGTTTTTAGGGAACCCAATCGCCAAATCCTGGGTGTGGAGAATCATCATCCACCACCCTTTTAGTTCGGGCGCCACTGTAGAGACATTAGGATTTTGGAAGCAAGAAAGGTAAAAAATGAGCAACACCTTCGTCGGGAATCGAACCGTGAACCTCTGGAATACGCACCCAGCGTGCAGACCACTACACCACGAAGGCAGGCTAAGAAGGCGGGAGAAATACCTTATAAACTTACCTTTTTGGTTTGCTTTGTTTGTTTAATGGGATTTTTTTCCTATATATTTTACGGTAAAGAGATCTGTAGCAGATGTTTTTGAGTTTTTTCCCTTTATGCAGAATGTTTCCGTTACTTTGAATACTATATGCCTAAATTTGGGGATAGGGAATTCATTTACTAATTACAGCTACAAAGAACGCTCTGAACAGGCCAACTTTAATAATGATGACCTTGTACGTTAAAACCGTACTAATAGTCATTGCAATGAAACCCTGCTTAAGCAGAACAGTGGAGAAAAATAACATTCAGTTAATGGGTCTGAAAACCTATTAACACCAAATTTTTAATTCAACTTTCTTAACCAATTTCATTTTCTATATATAAACGAATATTTTAATATGGAAACATTTAATCTCAGTACCCGCCACTTATTAAAATCGCTTCTGTTCTAATGATATTTGGGTTTATTAAGCAGCTGAGTTAAATATACGACAATCTGCATACTACAAATCGTTGTTTTTGTTACTAGTCTAGGAATATACTAGACGTGGTTCACGAGTCCATTCACCTTCAGAAAATGGAAAACAAGCTTAGGAGACTTGTAAGGGTCCTAAAGAGACAACTCCAGGCACTCAAGGATATGTGCCGG